AAAAGTACTTTTGCAAAGAAACGAAGAGCAAAAAGATTAGGTGGATGTTTCAAATGCGCTCGATGGACTTGTGACACACGATGTACATCTGTGGGGTTCGTTTCAAAAATCGAGAAGATAAAATATCATTTATAAAGGATGGATTGAGTAAAGAGTCTATGGATCAAACGATTCAACAGATTCTTGAGACACATCCGAGTGGTTATGTGCATCGAGAGCTTATGTCTCTATGGATTCGTTTCAAAAATGAAGAAGAGCGTTATAGTCTCGAAAATATTGTTTCAAAAGATCAAGTTTGTAAAAATTGTTCTTGCTAGTACGAAAAATACATTTTTGTATTTTGTACTGTAATTTTCAGAAAATCTTATAGCTGTCGACAGATAAGATTCATTGAAGACTTAACGCCTTATATGTCGGTTATCGTTTTGTGAAACATACCTTTTAAATAGCGAGTCATCCATCATAATCATATAACTCACAAAATTTAGTTTATCAATAAATAGATGGATGTTTCAGAGTCTTCTCAAGGTAATAAATTTCTTCATCCGATCAAAACCATGTGTGTTCTTGGTGGTTCTAAACTGGTAAGTTTTTCTCAAAATATTGATATTGTAAGTCAGCTAGTAAGGGAGATGGGGAATCAAAAAATCAATTTACTGTATGGAGGGACTAGCATCACTTTCTTTGATAACCTTTTAATGGCTGGAAAATGTTTTGATATAGAAGTGAAAAGTATAATACCTTTTCATAGAGCTTCAACAAGGGTCGTCAAAGATTCCACAAGTTTGATGCTAACCCATTCTATTTATGACTGTATGATGGATATGGTGAACAATAGTGATGCTTTTATCATTCTTCCAAGTGGTTATGGAACTTTAATGACAATGTTTACCATTGCTTCTTGGGCAGAATTGAAACTTCATAATAAGTCCATAGGTCTATTGAATTTTAATAATTATTTTCATGGTTTACTTGGATTTTTAGATGAAGGAGTATATCAAACCTTTATATCTCCTTTAACGAGGGAAGTATTCAAATCTGCAGGCACGCCTTCTGAGCTTATCAAAAAGCTTCAAGAATGACTCACATTTCAAGATTCTGTGGAAACACAAGGGGTCAAGCGAAAAAGAGCTTTTGATCCTTTAGATCTTTCATTATGAACCCAAATAATAATCATGGGTGGCAGAGTTACGGAGTTTATACTCTCGAGACGCACCCTCCTTTAATGGGTTCTATTATGTAATATTTTTCGCATATTTATTGAGGATTCACAACCTCTTATCTGTATTTCCATCATATGATCCTTATGTACTTGTTCTTCAGTAATAATAATATTTTTAGTTTCTTTGGGATCTTTACAAATACTCCTTCTAGGAGATGCTCGATCATCAAGTCAAGATTATACTCTTTCATATTTAATTAAGAGTTTTATTATAACTCCGTCTATAAGCATGAGCTAACTTATTTAATCTTTTTACATAGTGTTCATAATCTATTTAACCGAGATGATCATTTTGTATATTATCAATATACACAAGGTTCTACCTTGGATTTCATACTTTAATTCTTCAGGAATAATTTTGTTGGTTGTACCACATCTTACCAACAACTTTATATAATTAAATGATTTAATTATTTTTCATCTCGGGTACTCGAGTCCATCCAGGACTTTCACGTATGACTCAATAGTCATGATAATTTTGTTGCCATATATATTAATTTGCGGAATCATTGATAATGAGAGAAATTTTATAAAATTTTGGGTCTCAGCGTAAACCCATAATCTCGCTATATTTACATCACACCACCATATCACATATAAGTAATCATTATCCTTCTGAGATATACTATCCTTCTGAAATATATCGTGTAGCGAGTAAAAACTCTGCCTTTATTTTCTTTCTATCTCAATAAATCTAAGCGTTTCTAGCACTTTCATTATTTTGATCCGGATCATTATTTGAGATAGTAAAAAAATTACATAGGCAATTATGTTGTCGACAACTATGATATTTAATTTACATTCTCTCAACCATATGCGCAACTTCATATTTAGTAGCCATATTTATAATCATTTCCCGTAACATTTAATTTTGGCTATTCCGCATTTCCAGTACTATAATAATTTGATGCACGTGCAATATGTACTGGATCAACTCTTCAGGAGTTTCTTTATAAAGGAGTGTTAAATCTTGAATATATATACTTTCCGCGGACTTTCACACATCATATATTAATTATATCACCTTATGCTTCTAGCATTAAGGAATCAATCCTTCCCTAGGAATTTTTCTTACTTTGTGGTACATTTAGATATATACAAATTGTTCACTCCATTATTACTATAAATTTCGTTTGACAGAAATATAATATGAACTTCAAGTTCAATTGCGTGGTTTCAGATAATGAAAACATTAATATTTCAAATATTTTACGGCATTAATAAATTTATGCTCATATCTCCCCCTAATGCCGTTAAATATTTTTGCACAATACGTACCAAATAATAAATTGACCCCTATAATGGCCTCTAGGTATTAAAAATCTGACGGAGTATCATAGCATGCCTAGTTTATAATATTGGCCCATAAAGGTACGAATTGGTGGTGATATAAGATTGTGCATAATAATAAATCGCAGATGAGAAATGTTCAATTTTCCGCGCATCATTTTGGGGAAAATAATTGTTCAATATGATTCAACTGCTCATGGTAATTATCAAATATATAAGTTGAGCATCAAAATATAATAAATTAATTTTATGTGAACACTATATGCTTCAGGCACTACATATGTTATAACTCTTCAGAAATATAACAATTAAATTATGAGATATTTCATAAGTTATATGATATTTTTCTTCTATCATTGAAAATAATCTTTATCTAAATGATAATGTCTACTGGACATATCACTTTCAAATATTAACAATTAATGTTAACAATAATAGGATACATATCAAACAAGATATGTTCATAAATAAAGACAATTAAATCAAGTAAATTTATAATTTTATATAAGAGATATAATTTTCTATCATATTTATCATGTGATAAATTATGCTTTTGTAAATGTGCTTCTGGCACTACATATTTCTTTTCATATCACATGGAACGATTCATAAATATCGACATGTCCACTTACCAAATAATTTTTCAATATAAAATTTAAACATTTCATGACATGGCTTAATTAGTCATAAATATTGGTCTCAGACTCAAGCATATTAAATGAGCAATCATAAATCTAACGGAATTTAATTTCAAATACATATGTTACTAACATAATAATATAATAAATTTGTAATTAAATAATCAAATTTGGTGCTCATGCTGCAAGTGCACAGATAAATTAATATCAAATGGACATTGGACACATCATGTACATGGCTTATTCAATCATGCATATTATTTTATTATCATTTTGTTATTGTTTGGGAATGGCTTGTCCCAGCATAATATTTATCTTTTTCTCTATCCATTCGTAAGATGGAAGGAGAAAACTGAAAAAGGGAGACTTAGGTTCTTCAACAAACATTTCAGATTGCAATAAACACAATAATTCTCTTACCTTGGAAGAAGATGGTTTTGATTGTGCGAGGAGTAAGTGATGAAGCCCGAGGGTTCGAAGTTCACCGAATTCAAATGAGGGTTCGTGGAATTGAATTGTTTTATCAATGATCCGTCTTTTATTGTGGATAATCCCGACGCCGTGGATGAATCGATTTCTAGATTCTTCAAAGTTGTTGGGCCTTCGCTAAAGCTTGATCGAACAAGCATATTTTTTTTATTTTTTTTTATTTATTTATTTATCTATTTTCATAATCTCAACGCTTGAAGAAATCTTGACAAGAAGTTAAGAAACAATGATTCGTAATAATCTGATTTCTGATACAGAGGATCGTTTATAAAACGCAACTGTAGAGCATACTCTCGTCATATTATAAATCGAGCTCTAAAGGGCAGAGACTCGTGCTGATAACGTGTTGTAAAACTAGAGAGAAAAATAGAGAATATAGAGAATGTTTTCTCTTGGTTGTATTTTCATTATAACTGAAGCTCCTATTTATAGGAAAACTTCTGATGGCACAATCGTAATAATACAATTACATCAAGAGTAAAATAGTCATTCATATATAATATTTTAAACCTCACGAGGTGCATGCACCTATATTATAACAATACGAACATCAATATCTCCCTAAACCATAACATCAACATTTTGTTTTTTTCTTCAGAAAATAACTAACAAGACATATATTAGCCATCTAAGAAAAGGATAACATCAACATTTTGTTTTTTTCTTCAAAAAAAGAACTAAAAAGACATATATTAGTCATCTAAGAAAAGGCCAAGGCCAGAATGAAGGGGAAGGGAGGAAAGGAAAGAAACTTCAAAGAACAAACTCGTCCAAAAAGTCACACTTCAAGAAAGCAACACAAACTGGTGTAAATACTAGACTTCATAAGGGTGTATACTGTAATAGCCAACCCTGCAAGTTAGCTTCATTTTCTCAATTTCCTCCTTGACGAGGTTGTAGATCAAAATATTATTCTTACGCAAATCGGCACAAAGTACCAACACCTCCAAGTACTTAACCCAACCAACTGGAATTATAGCCACATCTTTATTTGTAGATTCAAATTGGCTCCTGTGTTCCTCCAATGAAAAATCCCCCGTCATTCTCCATGCAAACGTGCGAGGATCCATCTCCCAAACTTCCCAATAAAGCTTTCCACACTCACGCAATAAAGATAAATACTTTCCAGTCGACAAGTAAGTATTCTTAACTTCCCCACTCGGGCCAACAGAGTAACCGGGCCCAGGGCTCTCCGTGAATTCCTCAGTCTCCAAATTCATAGTCAATAACCTGTCTTCATGCAAGACCCAATACATAAACCCATCAGTAATTAAAACAGGTTTATACTTATAAACCCTAGGCTCGACCTGCACGACTCTCCACGCCTCATCATCATCTTCTCCTTCTCCAATGGTTAACACGTGAAACTCGTCCATGTTTACGCCTATATATGGATCGCCAGAAATGTAGACCACCACTTTCAAATCCATGGAGTCCCGAGCACATGATACTCCCCATGAATACATACGTGTCACTGAACGAGTGACGAGTGAAGGGAGATTAAGAATTACCCCGGACGAGTGATGTGAGAGGATGAGCTCAGTATATTTCCCTCCTTCTGCAACCGCTAAACAGAGTTGCGAACAATCGGTCACAGCCACGCTCGTGTTTTGTTGCCTCAACTTGGTTATCGGTATTTGGTGAAGAGAAGGGCGTAAGTGTTGTGGGTATGGGTCACATGGTACCACCGGCGGCAAACGAGCCTTGCCTTGTATATATCGTGGGCCGGGACACGGTCAAAAATGTTGGACAACAAGTCATCTGATAGAGCCCCATTGATATTTTTTTCACCACTCCTCTGCACATTTAGGTTAAGGAGAAGTTCAGCAACATAAGATAAGATTTTGGTAAAAAAAAATTTATATCTGTCCACAAAGAAATTCTGACTCCTATACTCAATTGGTCCCTTTCAAAGGTTGAAATTAAATCACGACACAAAACTAGATGACAATATGGAATAGTAACCTTTGAACAACTTCAGTAACATAAATGAGATTATGGTAAAACTCTTTTTCTGTGTGTGTTCACAAGAAATTCCAATCTCTATTCTCAATTGGTCACTTTCAGAGGTTGAATTTAACTCACGGTACAAAACTAGATGACAATATGGAATTTTAATCTTTGAGCAACTCCAGTAACATAAATGAGAGATTTTGGTAAAACTCTTTTTCAGTATCTGTCCACAAGAAATTCTAATCCCTCTTCTCAATTGGTCACTTTCAGAGGTTGAATTTAACTAGAGACACAGAACCAAATGACAATATTGAATCCTAATCTGTGACCTAATTACTGCTTATATGCTAAAAAGAGTATACATTACCCAACCAGCAAAATCAACATGGGGCAATTCAAAATTAAGCTGCTCTTTACAGAGATTAGCTGGTAATATGTGAGCGAAATACACCTAGTAACAAGTTTGATTACTATTTAATTCGCATCGATGTACAAAAGCTGTTCTTCGCTGAAATCTGATCGCAGGATTACCTGTTTCTGCTTCTTCTCAGGTGGAGACCGCTGGTGGCGAACCTGTTCTTCGCTGAAATCTGATCGGAGGATTCCTTGCTTCTGCTTCTTCTCAGGTGAAGGCCGCTGGTGGCGGTGGCGGTGCCTGTGGCGGTGGCGGTGGCGGTGGCGGTGCCTGTGGCGGTGGCTGTGGCGGCTGGGGCCTGGTGGATGCGTCGGGGACATCAGATGTTCCGTCTTAATTAGGTCGTGCTGCCAATTTTTCTCAAATTCGGAGATTAGGAACGACAAATATATGGGTGGAACTGTGCATTATAAAACCTAATGGACCTAGGTATCCTAAATAGAACGGTTTACCCATGGCCCGACCCTCTTGATCAGGCTTTGTCCGGATGGGCCGCCCCTCAGCCATTGACCCATTGTTGTCTTCGATTGTTGGCCGAAGGACATATATATATATAGTTGTTTGATAACTTATTCGGAAATAGCGATCACTAAGAGCTATTTCCATTCGGACGAGTTTGGTGACACGTTAACACATAGAAAGCAAAAATTAAAAATAATAATAAAGCTCTAGCTCCTCATACTAGTGCAGCTCCCGTGCGATGCACGGGGTGCATTGTTTTAAGGTTATATACCTAATCTTATTATTATATTTGTAAATAAAGATAATTAAATAAATAGAATAAAAAATATTATCATATATTATTAAAAACCTCATTGTAGAGAATATTTTTTACCTTGTAGGCATACCATCTTCCCCGCAAACTAATACTTCCAAGCCCTTTCAATTAGTGACACTGGAAACAGCTACATACAACTGGTCGTGACTGAACACCGACTTCTTCAAGAACATGCCAACATGTGATAAAGACTGACCCAGACTCTTGTTAATCGTCATGGAATAAGAAACCATTAGGAGAAATTGTCTCCGCTAAAATTTTAAGAGAACTACAAAGTCGGAAGGTGTTAGTCATTCAAAGTATCAACACCTTCTCTCATGCATTAGATTCAGTCAATACCTTACATTCATGCACATTAATGGAGAGCTTTGTGAGAACCAATATCGTACCTTACATTCAATCACATGAGTACTAAAGTTCTTATAATAAACTTCGAATATTAATGTTAATATTAGTGTTAGTATTATTATCTATATAAGAACACTGAAGTGAATAAGATTTCACTCGGGCTCCTTCGACTCGAACGGCCACCGGACCTGCAAGAACCCAACGCCGGGAGGAGTCCCGGCGTCGGGCCTCCGACGCTCAAGTCAGAATCACTCCAAATCTGAAGAGTATAATTATGAATGTAGAGAGAGTGTGAGAATGGGATACCTTAGCCCTCTTTTATAGGGGGAGTGTACCTTATGGCCCAAGTTGGGCTTGTCCAATAGCGTCGTGTCACGTGTCCTAGCCATGTGTAGGCATATTCTTCAATATATTCCCCTCTTATCCATTAGGACTGGTCTAGTATATAATATCCTATATCGTCTAGTCCCCCCCACTCTGGTCGAGTCTGAATGACTCGATCTAAGAGTGAAATTCCTCTTCGAGCTGTTTCCGTCAGCCCGCCACTGAGGTTGTAATTTGAATAAACCATCGACCACCAAATAGTCACCAAATCTCTAAATGAGCATCAGGACCCCAAATGAATACCGAATGACCACTAAGGTAAAAAATCGAGAGACCCGCCACTGGGGTCGAACACCGAAAGTTGATCGACCACTGAGGTCGAAAATCGAGAGACCCGCCACTGGGATCGAACACCGAAAGTTGATCGACCATTGAGATCAAAAATCGAGAGACCCGCCACTGGGGTCGAACACCGAAAGTTGATCGACCATTGAGATCGAAAATCGAGAGACCCGCCACTGGGGTCGAACACCAAAAGTTGATCGACCACTGAGGTAAAAAATCGAGAACCGAAGTCTTGAATTTAAAAATTTGAACTTACGCCTTGTTGTTTTTCGATCACCATGTTCGAGCTCTCTTCATTCAAAGATAAGCCTTTCCTACCACCTCCTCCTATCATCGCCCCCTCAGTTCAAAATTTGAAATTCAACCCTGCTGTTTATTCTCTCGAAAACCGAATGTCCTGACACCACACCGAAGTCGAAAGCCGAATTTCGACAAAACCAAATAAAGATCATCGACCTACCACTGAGGTCTGCAAGTAAACTCCCTGAGTTGCTCGAAATGAACTTCCCCGACCCGCCATTGAGGTCGAAAATAAGTTCGACATAACCAAAACAAATAAAACCATCGATCTTAATAGTCTGACTCCGTGAACTGCCCCGAGCGAACTCCCTCGACCTACCTCTGAGGTCGAAAAATAAATTCGACAATACCAAAACCAAGTAGAGATTGTCGAACTGCCATCGAGGTCCTCGAGTAATCTCCGTGAATAACGTCAAATGAACTCTCTCAACTTACCACTGAGGTCTGCTCGAGCTATTCGTAACGAACTCCGTTTCCCTTCTCTTGAAGTCGAAAAATAAATTCGACGAAACCAAGAATCAAATAAAGATAATCGACCTGCCACTAAGGTCTGCTCGAGCTATCCGTAATGAACTTCATCTCCCTTCTCTTGAAGTCGAAAAATAAATTCGACGGAACCAAGAATCAAATGAAGATAATCGACCTGCCACTGAGGTCGAAAAATAAATTCGACATAACCAAAATCAAGTAAAGATCATTGACCTACCACCGAGGTCTCCAATATGATCACCGACCCAACACTAGGATCGACCACCCAGCCCGGAGGCCTTAGTCATGGTGGATTTTTGTCTTCGAGCACATGTCCACCCTCAAAGGAGTGGTCGTTACATGTGACCACCCAGCCTGGAGGCCTTAGTCATGGTGGATTTTTGTCTTCAAACACATGTCCACCCTCAAAGAAGTGGTCGTTACATGTGACCACCCAGCCCGGAGGCCTTAGTCATGGTGGATTTTTGTCTTCGAACACATGTCCACCCTCAAACGAGTGGTCGTTACATGTGACCACCAAGCCCGGAGGCCTTAGTCATGGTGGATTTTTGTCTTCGAGCTGCTCGAACACTTCGACCTGCCACTGAGGTCGACAAGAAAACACACCAAAGACCACGAGACAGAATAATAATTGATCATTTTCGTTAGTCCCATCGAATGCATAGTTATATCGAACAAGATATAAAAATAAAAATTATCAAGCATTTTTTCTACCTCCCTTTCATGCTTGTACCCGACGACCTGAGTTGTTGTTTGCTCTATGCTTCCCACTCCTTACCATAGCCAATATCCAGTTCACCTGCTCATGGATAATAGCAATTGAAAATAGCAATGGAAAAATAGTAGTAAATAGAGGCAAAAAGTGAAAAAAACTTCGACGTCTCCAAATAAACATGGTTTGGAACAGGACACTATCATTTGATGTGGATAACATATTTGTCGCGCACCATCATGTTTTGAAGCAAAATCGTATACTTTTTAAATAGCCATGGAAAATAGTAGTAAATAGAGACAAAAATAAAAAATTGTTCGAAGTCTCCGGAAAAGCATAGTTTCGAACAGGACACTATCATTTGATGTGAATAACATATTTGTCACGCACCATCGTGTTTTGAAACAAAATCGTATAAATATAAAATAGCCATGGAAAATAGTAGTAAATAGAGGTAAAAGTAAAAAATTGTTCGACGTCTCCGGAAAAGCATGGTTTCGAAGAGGACACTATCATTTGATGTGAATAACATATTTGTCGCGCACCATCGTGTTTTGAAGTAAAATCGTGTACATTTGAAATAGCCATGGAAAATAGTAGTAAATAGAGGCAAAGGTAAAATATTGTTCGATGTCTCCGAAAAAGCATGGTTTCGAACAGGATACTATCATTTGATGTGAATAACATATTTGTCATGCACCATCGTGTTTTGAAGAAAAATCGTATACATTTAAAATAGCCATGGAAAATTGTAGTAATAGAGGCAAAAGTGAAAAATTGTTCGACGTCACCAGAAAAGCATGGTTTCGAACAGGACACTATCATTTGATGTGAATAACATATTTGTCGTGCACCATCGTGTTTTGAAGCAAAATCGTATACATATAAATTAGCCATGGAAAATAGTAGTAAATAGAGTCAAAAGTGAAAAATTGTTCGACGTCTCCGGAAAAGCATGGTTTCGAATAGGACACTATCATTTGATGTGAATAACATATTTGTCGCGCACCATCGTGTTTTGAAGCAAAATCGTATACATATAATATAGCCATGAAAAATAGTAGTAAATAGAGGTAAAAATAAAAAATTGTTCGACGTCTCCAGAAAAGCATGGTTTCGAAGAGGACACTATCATTTGATGTTAATAACATATTTGTCGCGCACCATCGTGTTATGAAGCAAAATCGTATACATTTAAAATAGCCATGGAAAATAGTAGTAAATAGAGGCAAAAGTAAAGAATTGTTCGACGTGTCCGGAAAAGCATGGTTTCGAATAGGACACTATCATTTGATGTGAATAACATATTTGTCATGCACCATCGTGTTTTGAAGAAAAATCGTATACATTTAAAATAGCCATGGAAAATAGAGTAATAGAGGCAAAAGAGAAGAATTGTTCTACGTCTCCGGAAATGCATGGTTTCGAACAGGACACTATCATTTGATTTGAATAACATATTTGTCGCGCTCCATCGTGTTTTGAAGCAAAATTGTACAAATTTAAAATAGCAATGGAAAATAGTAGTAAATAGAGGCAAAAAGTGAAAAAAACTTCGACGTCTCCAAAAAAGCATGGCTTGGTACAGGACACTATCATTTGATGTGGATAATATATTTGTCGCGCACCATCGTGTTTTGAAGCAAAATCGTATACATTTTAAATAGCCATGGAAAATAGTAGTAAATAGAGACAAAAATAAAAAATTGTTTGAAGTCTCCAGAAAAGCATGGTTTCGAATAGGACACTATCATTTGATGTGAATAACATATTTGTCGTGCATCATCGTGTTTTGAAGCAAAATCGTATACATATAAAATAGCCATGGAAAATAGTAGTAAAAAGAGTCAAAAGTGAAAAATTGTTCGACGTCTTCGGAAAAGCATGGTTTCGAACAGGACACTATCATTTGATGTGAATAACATATTTGTCGCGCACCATCGTGTTTTGAAGCAAAATCGTGTACATATAAATAGCCATGGAAAATAGTAGTAAATAGAGACAAAAATAAAAAATTGTTCGAAGTCTCCGGAAAAGCATAGTTTCGAACAGGACACTATCATTTGATGTGAATAACATATTTGTCACGCACCATCGTGTTTTGAAACAAAATCGTATAAATATAAAATAGCCATGGAAAATAGTAGTAAATAGAGGTAAAAGTAAAAAATTGTTCGATGTATCCGGAAAAGCATGGTTTCGAACAGGACA